GATGACGATAATGGCACCTGCAAGTGGCCAGATGCAACAACTTTGCGTCTGGAGTGCATTAGCCTCGAAGCCTAGAAAACGAATCACGCATATCCTCGCACAAAAGAACATCAAAAGCAAGATGTAACACACACGCAATAAGGCTCCGGTTTTATAGCGCGACAGCAAACCTGGTGTTGTTATACAAGAAGAAAAGACATAGGATTACCCGAGCGCGTAATCCTAAAAGAAAAAGACTACCCTCCAACAAGCCCTTTCATATATGCATACCATGTGTAACTGAGGCTCGCCAGTTAATACCTAACGCGGGAAGCGAGGTAGATCGGAGGAGTTTTCAACCCAGGGCTCCGGGATTCTCGAATCAATCGTTAGGATTCGATTCGGGTCGCCCAGCCGTCCGTAGTGTACCCAAGCGGGAGGAGACCCGAAGGAACGTAAACCTAGAATTTTTCTTTTCTTCCAGTCAGCTTCTAATCGCTGGCATGGCAAGCTGACGATGCAAATTTCGTCACAGGACCTATGCGATCCTGAATGGAAGCCCTAGCTCGTATGACCTATATGACCCTATCGTGAGTCAGCAATGGCTCTATCGAGCAACTTATGCCCGGGTTCGAACGTCAAGCTTCGGCGGCTCTCTCCCGAACGCTGGCAGATAATCGCATCCGCTTCGTGCTGGGGCGTGTAATCATTAATAAGACTGAAACCCGGCAGCGGTGAGGAATGGCGGGTAGACGAAACAAGGTCGGCCGAAAGACATGGAATATGCCGTCAATCCCACATGGAGGTCCAGGAGCCTCCCGGGCAAAAGCACCAAGATTCGAAGGTTGACAGCAAAGAATCCCGGCTTCTAGCAGGGTGAAGAAACATCAACACGTTCAGCGTACCAACGGCCGGGATGTTTTGGATAAGCCCCGGCACAAATCATATTTCCACTTGGACCGGGGTACGACAAAGTAGGTAGATACTCGAGGCAAGGTCTAATAGTTTAATTTAACTATCCAGCTATCGCGAGAACTCATATTCAGCTGCGCGATAGACTACTGAACCCTACCATAAAATCCTTTGATATGTCATATATGGGTACGCATTGGGGGCGTACGAAGACAGCATAGGCGGCTTGTTCTTACCGCAACTCGTCCCAGGGTCTAGTATACGACCAGACGACTTACCGACCGCTGAATAGATCCTCCCCTTATTGAGGAACATTACACAGAGCGGCACGGACCTGCAATCTGTAAGCTCTGTGTAACAGGATGTAACCATTGGTAAGTCTCCTTGAGTTCTGATTGGCGCGGCATTTTGCGCTGTGTACTTAATATTGCATACATATATGTAAACGTTCGGTGACAAGAGTCGACGTGTATGTAACTCCGTATCATCAGAACTTCTCCATCTTCCTGTCCGGTTCGGGCTCCCAAGCCTTGCGGAGACCAGTAGTATGTAATTTGAAAAGCACTCGTATGCGAATATATGTACGTTTATACGCATGTATCGGACGGATGTACCTATATCGTATGTAGGTATGTAGGCATGTACCGTGTACTATGTATGTTGATCTTAGCCCCCTTCTCATCTCTATCCTGCGGTTGGTAAAGATGCTGATTCGCACCCCACACCGATAGTTCGCAATCTTATTCAGACGCCTGCTTCGCCGCCGCTCGCTACTGACCACTAGTAATGCCCTCGCCCTCGTAAGTAGCCGGCTGACCGCTGACTGACTTGACTGACGTTTGTCTACGCAGTACGGTCCACCGCTAAGGTCTTTTCGCATCTCGCAACTCGCATTTCCCTTTCATTTCATAAGTCCATTCTAGGTATCGCTTTGCGGTACGGCGGCATGCTTCGTATGGCTTAGCCTATAGGGTATACCGGGCATATATTCTCGGAATCACGAGAACCAAGAAAGAACGGTCGTTGGTCGCCGGCAAGTTGCGCTGTGCCTATTCCTACCCAATTCTTATGTTCGCCTCTCTTGGAGATGGCATGGCGAGTCAAAAGAAGAGTAGGTATACTATCACATGTGAATGAAGTCAACATGATGTTTGAATATTTTCCTGATAGGCAAAATGCATCCCAGCCAGCCATATAGAGCGAGGATGCCTCTGGGACAGATGACGTGATGTCAATATCATGAAGTTAATTATTATTATTTCGCCGTCATTCCCGTTTATTGTTACCGTCACCCATCTCAGCCCGTTTTGGGTGGGCGAGTTGGAGATTGCCGGAATTAAGGTGTTCTTTCGGAAGGCTAGGAAGACGCAAATGGACAGCGAACCCTTCGATATTGTGACATGCTGTCGGGGGTGGATGACAAACGGGATCTACTTTCCTACATAGTACATAACACTTCTTTTTTTTCTTTTTCTTTTTTTTTCTGCCCCCAAGCCGATGCCATGTTCCGAAGGCCATGCAACCCACCCTCGAACGATGGAGAAGCTTAAGCTTAATTCAAGGACAGGGAGTCTAATCAAATCAGAAACGTCGACGGGGGTGCCACTCACGTTGTATTTATCCTAGCGCGGCCCCCCTTAAATAGTAAAACAACGAAAGGGGGGCCACGCCGAGCCCTTGGTCAGCGAGCTTGGCGCGTTCTTGGATTTCCCTTGCCCACGCTTGGCTCTGGGAAAAGAAGCTCGAGAATCTCGGCAGAGCCAAGCTACAAACAACCCGCAGATATGCAAAATTCGATGGCCCCCTCTCATTGGCTCGAACGCCGTGTTCCCCACTAAGCCCACCTTATTCTAACAGCAGAACTCCCTGTGTCATGTGCTGACGCGGCCCCTTCGGTGATACTCGCCCAGCAGCTGTTGGTGATTGTCGGCCGGCCGGTAGATAATACAGTAGGTGGTAGCTGGGCTTGTGGTAGTGGCTTATTGCACTGTTCGACCTGTTCCTGGGCGATCATCGGCACGCTTCGGAACCTTGAGCCTAAAACTAATGCTTTGTAGGCCCATAGCTCCGCGATGTGGAACATCGTCTACCACCATCAGAAACTCGCCTCCGAGATTCTTACAGCAAAATGGCCGTGAAATGGAGACATTCCCACCGGCGATCCTCTTCAACACCTGTTCTGGGTCACGGGGGTTAAATGCGTAGGAGTAGTAACGACGGCAAAAGCCGCAGAGATCGCGATAGGCAGAGATGGAAAAGAGGCTAGCTGGACTAGCCAGCAGGTAGGTACCGTGTTTCTCGAATGGCATTGCACGATATATTATGTACCTACCTATGATGCCTACCTAGCAATTATGCCCGGTATCAAACCCGTGCCGCGAGGTTGGGGTACCCTTTTTTTTTTTAATAATAAATTCGTAACTAACATTCCAATACTCCAATATTGCGCCCAACAACATATTAAAGTGAAGCCAAGAAATGTCAAGAAAATGCCAAGCTTCTGAGCGTGTCACGAAGAAACGGTGTTTTTTCAACCAAGCCCAGAAGCTGAAATATGTATATTCGCGACCCCCCATACTCCAATCTTCGGACGGGCTGTTATTTGCCAAAGAGCAAGCCCAGGCCCTAAGGGTGGACACATGGGCTGATCAGGATCTGGGTTCAAATCGCATCAGTGATCATTGATCAAGGTAGGTAATCCTGCACCCCGGATACACGTGAATCATCTCGGGAGCACAGAGATTTCGTGTATAAGCCCGTCCTTCATTCGGCCAAGCGCATATTCATCCCCTTCCCTTTCCTTTCCTTCCCTTCCCGATGACGAATCGACAAACTCGATAGCGGCTTTGTTACCCAATGCAGCGGCTTGGCGACGTCCTTTGCGTTGTCTCCAGAAACTACCCCACTGTTGCAGAGTTTAGATAGCACGACGTAGCGTGTGCATGTCCACAGCTAAACCTAGGACGAGATGGTGATAATGGATGTTACGAGGGAAACGGGTAGATCGCCCCAAAGCTTGACGAGGGGGGAATCTGCCGATGGTAAACCCTTTCTTTTCTTTGCGCCGGGAATTACACCGCAGCCCAATGCCACCCCTATCTGGTCCAAATAACGCTCGTTCTTGGCAGGCGGTTAAGGCTGCCTACATGCATATCCTGCACTCTATCGCGATGAAACCAACGAAGCTAAGGGCAAATTTGGGGGGGGAACATTGCATAGTAGTCCAAGGCCAACTGCATCATGACAGCCTTGGGCCGCGCTTTCAATGGATAACCACCTCAACATTCCTTGCATTAAATGAAACGTCAATATAGCCCAAAAGATTGATCGTTCGGTCATATGGCCCTAATCCATCCTTACCGGCATAACGTGGGCGTAAGCTTGCGAGCCGAAGCGATGAGGAATTGCGTAGTAATAAACCGAATGCTATGCCGTACAAACGGCCGAGCCGCGAGGCGAAATCCGTCGCTGGGCCGGTCAGGCTTGCGGGAAGCATGTTTACGGCTTGGGTGTTCGCAGGCATGTCGGAGCCTACCTCCTATTTCGTGTTAAGAGACCTAGTTGTGCAAAGCAAGTCGACTACGGAAAATGCTTTTCACTTTCGGACACTGGATGACTACCCCCCTTTCGGCCGTACAAATGATGGTCTCGTGAATATGGTTTGTACCCACCAAGATAGAGGATTGAGGTTATATCAGGCTCTAAGGTTCCTTGCTAGCAGAATAGGGTTGTAGGTGTTCACACCGAATGTCAGTCTATAGGGGCAAATGTAGGACCAATTTTTATGCTTGTGGATTCTCCACAGGGAAAACCTCTCATATGCTGTACTTCTTCGGAGCCCCTTCCAATATTCACCGGTCGGAATTGAAGGTGGTGGGTTTGTGATGCGATGAGCCAATGTTCCAACTGCCGAGTCAGGGGAAATTTTTCATGAGCAGGCTTGTCGATCTACTGCCGACAATAAAGTCATAGGAATATTGGAAAACATGAAGGCGAGAGAGGAATGAAGTTACCTTATGAGAGGTTTCTTTGTATTGTACAAGGCTTCTATCTTGGTTTACACTCAGGTATGCAATTGCGATGCAGCAATAGCTGAGAGCTTATTGCCCCTAAGCATTTGGTCCTCCTATCATAATCAAGTAGGACTGTCCAAGTTACTCTAAGTTTCGTAGTGCACTAGGGCCGAGCCTGCAGGTGGATGATGAATGCTCTCCTTGCAATATGCAACGACTCTATTCAAATGCAAGTGAAGTCTGGGTGAAGCAACACAAGAATAAGATGCTGTGTCTGGGACCTGTCAAAACTAGCCTCAGACTTTGATTCTGTCCTCGTGAGGTCCGAATCAACGCACAACAGACGCCACAAAGCTTGTTCGGCAGTCAAGTCTGGATCAAATCGCGTTGTGCGAGGGTTGTACGAGACACTCCCCACGTCCCAGAGAAGTAAGCATTAACGAGCACGGCATGTCCGCCATCCATATTGTGTTCAGCAATCACATCGGCCGTACCAGCGGGGGAACGCGGAAGTGTCGTGTATTGTTTGGATGCCGGAGAGATAGCATATCAGCCGATCAAATCCCACGCCGAAGCCGCCGTGAGGAGGACAACCCCAACGGCGTAGGTCGACATACCAATTAAGGTTATTCTCAGTCGATTGCGGCGACTCTGACTTGATAGCACCATCTGAGGAGGTTGGGGCTATCCCGTGGGCGCGCATAGACTCTAGCAGGTTGTCCAGTCGATGCTCACGCATAGACCCGCCGGCAATTTCGCAGAAATCTGGTACGAGGAGGTCGAAGCATTCGACTGTCGCACTAGGTGGGGATTTATCACAATCTCCCACATTAGCCTTCATGTAGAAAGCCTTGATATCACGTGGATAGTTCGTGACAAATACCGGGCTACCATTACCCACCTTCATCGCAATGTATTTCTCGTGCTGGGTGTTAAGATCCTTCCCCCAGACGGGGTTATGGACGAAAGCCGTATCGGAGCTTTTCAATATTTCGATGGCCTCGGTATAGGTAATGCGAGGCCAGCTTGGCAGTAAAATACCCGCCCAACGTTGCTCGACCTGTTCTGCTGGAGCCAAATCTGACGGTCGGTCGCCTGCTCGTACCAAAAGCTCATCTTTGACCCTTGACGTACTCAGATCGGTGCAGATATGTTTCAACATACCTTCTGCGAGGTCCATTACAGAGTTCAGATCATCAGTAAAGCTCATTTCTGCCTCCAACATATAGAACTCGCTAAGATGGCGCGGAGTATCACTTTGCTCTGCACGGAAAGTCGGAGACAGCGTCCATACATTACCGAGAGCCTGAGCCAGAGCCTCCAAATGCAACTGAGCTGATACAGTCGTATAGACGGGACGGCGGAAGAAGGATTTAAGTTTGTCTGTCTTAGATTTTGAAGGCAACGGACTAGGATCGCCAGCCGACACGTGAAAGACCTCACCGGCACCTTCACAATCTGCGGATGTGAGAATAGGAGTGTGAGTCTGTACGAAATGGTGGGTTGCGAAAAACCTAGTTAATGATGCCATTATCTCAGAGCGAAATCGAAGAACGGTAGTATTAAACGGGATCCTAGGACGAAGATGCGGCAAGGTCCTTAGATATTCGGGAGTCTGATATTTCTTCTGGATCGGAAACGTCTATGGAGATGTAAGTCACACCACATAGGCGCTTAAAGCGAGTAGGCTAGACATTAAGCTTAAACAGACCTTGGCGTCAGACGGTCCCAGCACTGTGGCTCGTTCAACTTGTAGCTCATGGCTCTGTCCGCGGCCTAAGGATGGAATCCAAGACCCATGTAGTCGGACAGCGGCCCCGACAGTCAGACTATCGATAGTACGATTAGCGAGAGAGAATGCCACGGGAGGTTTCTAGTCAAACCTGGATGTCCTACCCTTCGGCCTGGTCAGAAGGCACTACGGCCTGGAGTGATTCAAGGGAAGAACCATCCCCAAGAGCTACAAAAGACTGTCGCTTTTGTGCACGGACGGACCGAACGAAACCGTCGATCTTCACATCTGAGACAGCATCTTGCGGCTTAAAATGGAGGAAACCGGCGATAGATGTTGGGACCGTGGTGGATATGAAAGCTCGTGATACTACACTTGATGAGAGTCTCAAGGGGTAGGGGTATCTCGGCGACGCTCCTCTCAGAAGCGGCAGGATAGAATTCATCTCATACGGTAAATCATAAGATGCCCAAAAGAATCAGGTGACTGAGAACCTCTCTTGAACATTACGGACGCATGTTGATTAATTAAAGGTTCAATGTTGTATATTGTGGTTCACTTTTCAGTTACAAGGGTGAATGAGGTTTGGTGTTGACGAGAAAATATGGAGAATATTGATTACTTTTCTCGGATATACTTCGGTCAAAGCTTAGTCGTCGACTCTCGGAAGACCCAGTTTATCCTACCTCCTAGCGCCTAAAGACGACCCACACATGCCATAATAGGAAAGAAGCTATCCATGGTATCGAGGTACCCGTATTAGTCATCGCCAACTTCGACGTTTCTATCATCCAGCCGAAGCACTCAACCCGTCAGCCCGTCAACTCAAAAACTTTTTTTTCCACCATTCCACAAACAACAACACAAATTTGCGCTATCCGTCTCATATTCCGAGGTGATCGTTTCTATCATACTTCGAAGGCTTGCCTATCGCTAGGCTGTGAAACAATCTAAGACTTATCTTAGGCATTTGGTGTGTCATGACCTCTCGACATGGACATGGGATGGATATGAAGATGGGATGAGAAAAAGAAAATCCATACGTAGGTGTACAATAAATCAATGGCAAACATGCCGTATTAATACCGGAGTGATCAACGTCGATGTTTGTTAGATACTCCTTCGACCGGATAACCCTTAATGATCCTGAGTAGGTAGGTACGTCATGAGATATACATCTCTCGCTTCATGAGTCACGAGTAAAACTTAGTAAGGCCGAGTGAAGCTCGCCTACTTCCCACGATACTATCGAGGATGCCTGCAAGCGACTGTTCCTACAGTTATGGGTTTCACTTATCATCCTAGTTACCTACCTAGTTTCTCCGGAATTGTGACAACCACCCCAAGTCCTCCAGCAATGCAACTATTCCCATTCCTCGAGGCATCACAGTCTAAAGATGCCACAGATGGCCCTAAATATAACGGCATCTATCCTAGAACTCCCCCTAAGCTAGAGTGTGACAACTCGTAAACTCAGTCGTTAGCCCGCAGGTGCTTTACGATGCTGCACTCGTAGGAGTACCAGATCTGTCCGACTTCGGTTATCTGCAGTGTAGCCTGATCTTCAACTGGAACAGCTATCCCGTCTACCTGGGAACCGAGCTGTATCACAGAGACAGATGTCTAATTCTCCCAGGTTCCTAGGCTAGCAGACGTAAAGGCGGTGCGGAAGCTCTTTTGTGGGTTATACTATGGGAAAAAAGCGAGCCACTTAACCTATGGTCTGAAGTCTTCTCATCTCAATGTCTAGGACATAGTGGACTCGATAGGAGCAATCATCCTATATTGGTAACACAATCTCTCCCGGGCGCTGACTGTGCCTACCAGGAAGGAAGTTGCTAATACCTGAGTGAACATAATTCTACGTCTACGTCTCCCTAGGGCTATCATTATCATTATAGGTGGCTAACGTAGCCGCATTCTGGCCCAAGTTGGATTTTTTTATAAGATCATATCAAGATCCGGATCTCTTGGGTTGCAATTTGATCATCAATCGATCAGACAGATCAGCCAGCCACTCGATCGTTCGGAGATCTCTATATGACCTATCAGAAAACATCAGCCTATCCTTGTGGAGCTACGCTTGTCTAAGATGCCTTCCTCGAAACCCAAGCCATCTGAAGTTGCCGCCGAGACGAAGCGTCACTACATACCGATCATAAAATCAGAATATGCACAAGCATGGCCAACGCACTCTTACCTTTTCCAGCAGCCCCTTCAACAGATTCCCATGCAGAATTCCGTCAGTGGCGTTGCTCCATCACCACCCGAGTTTTGTAAGTACCAAGTATACTTGGTATCTGTCACACTCTGACAGGTTATACAGATATCGCCTCTGGAGACCCAGTCGATTTTACGATCAACTGGAAGCTCAAAGTCGACCTTAGGATACCGTTTATATGTGCGGCAAACGACAAGAGGCCCGGCGGAGATTGGGAGACCGGAGTAGTAAGTTCTTGCCCCTTTTTTTATTTCGCTTCTTTTCCCCCTTTTTTCCTTTCGTCTAATAAAAGAAAATCTTGGAAATTTACGATATACTTATTCTCAACTTCAACCTATCTAGGTCGGCTACGAAGAGCGCCTCTGCCGGCGCAGCACCCTCTCCGCCACCCTCAGCACGCCGGGCCCGGGCTCGCAAGTCGACAACAACTACCCGATCCCGTCGGAAGGGGGCATCTACTCGGAGGCCGTCGTCGTCTTCCGGGGGCCGCACGACCAATATAAAAAGCTCGAGCAGTGGCACGACCTGCCGGTCGTCAGCATGCCGGCGGCGCGGTGGCCGAAGCTGTCGCACGGCGGGGCCAAGTACGCGTTCCCGCTGGAGCGCGAGATGGTGCGGAACAAGATCCGCGCGGCGCTGCGCATCTGCGCCTTCTACGAGCACCGCGCCGTCGTCATCGGCGACTTCGGCCTGGGAAACGGCCACCGCAACCCGCCCCAGGAGCTCGCCGAGCTGTGGCGCGACGTCTTCCTCTACGACCCGGACATCCGCGGCCGTTTCGACTACGTCGCCTTCGTCTTCGAGGACCAGTACCAGAGCACCGCCCGGCTGATCCTCGACGACATCGCCAAGAAGAGCAAGGGGAGCAGTAGCGGTAGCAGCAGCGGCCACCATCACGGCTCCAAGGGAAAGTCCCGCGCCTCTGCGAGCTCGAGCTCGGGATCTGGGAGCGGCTCGGGAGCCCCGCCGACCGACTTCGAGATATTCTCGCGCGTCTTCGATGCCGGCGAGATCCAGAGCGTGCTGAGCCGGCCTGATCCCAGGTACGACATCTCCATGCTGACGTCGTGATGGGTCCGAGGTGGACCTAGGTAGGGGTTCGCGGTGCCGAGAAACGTTGGGTTCTCGTACGCCATTACACAGCGTCGAGTCGTCATACGGTCCCATGTGGGCGGAATCGACCCGGCGATCCGGTCGGGTATGGGGGTGGGTAGCAGTGTTGTCTTCTCCTTTCTTCGTTCCTAGATTGATTACATCCTATAGGCTAAAGGGTTCGTCGAGGGTTCGTCAAGGTTTCAGGGGTGAGGTGCGTGGTAGAAAAAAATTCGGACAAAGGGTTGGGAGACGCGTTGCTTTCCCGTGTACTCTAATAACTCAGTTTATATTGATTTATTGATCACGCAATAACATAGGTACCACCTCATGATATTTGCTTGTACTGTAGCCATTACATGACTGAGCATATCGTAAGTTGATGTATTTCTTTCTACAAGGCGACTGTAGTGTTACGAAGCCTCCAAGGATATCAGCCGATTTGGTAGTTTATCACGCGAATCATTGCCACTGTCACATTTGAGTTGTCAGGGTTTGACAGGGCGATGAGCACTTAAGCATCTACTCGATCAACCGGCTTCGATCCAGTCTACGATCTCAGTCCCCTTGCGTCATCTTAAAGCTTGGCTACCTTTGAGTGGTGAATTGTGAGGCGAGCTCCGGCTTGAGAAAGCTATGAGTGTCGATGTGCCATTCGTTTTTTCCCAGGACTGGGTCACATGAACCTACAACGATGCAAGATGCAGTTGGGAGCCGTGTCAAGAACTGGGGCCAACGCCTTTGGCTTAATGACTCGGGATAACTAGGTGAAATAATGGGAACCTTTAGGGACGGCTCGGTCACAGAATCAGTAATATCTTGCCATCACATGCCCTATCCCCGGGGCATATTGTATGGACGATCCTGATATCTAGCGGTGAGGCTCCCTCGACGGGGAGCCGGTATTGACAGCGCATAACATTGATTGTCTTTGTCCTTACTTTTTGCCGATTTGATGTCGTCGTAATGTTGTCGTAAGGGTGATGCTGTATATCGCTTATTGCTTTAATGGCTTGATCGTAGTAAGGACAAACCAGACCGGTCACTGGGAATATTCTCAGGACATACCTGCATATGCATATATGAGCAAACTAAAACCTCCGGGTAGGAATACGTGTGATCTAGCCACCCGAAATGAGCCTACCTGAGCCCCGAGAAGCCAAAGAATCGAAATAGTATATGATTTGCACGGAAATGGCTGGCGTCTGACCCAGGATCACGCAGGCGTAAAACGAATGCATGTAAGCATCAAGGGTTTCGGGGCGTTGCGATAGGAGAACACGACGTTAATTCCAATGTACGGAGTATACCTACCCAATGCCTTAGTTCACATGTCTACCCCTGAATTGACCCAAACAGAATCTATGTTAACGCTTTGGAGTCTCAGATAGGCGAGCCCGATAGCCTTCAAGATTCTGATTTAACCATGTGGATTAAGCCTCTTCCATGCAAATCTGACTCTCCTGGAGGTGTGTTTCAGCCACCTGGGAGGGTAGAGACTGCTACGAGTTTATCAGTGGTAGGGCCAACGCCTTCTCAATTAGGGGTAACACAACTAGCCATGTTGCCCAGGATTGACTGATGGGTTGTGTTTATAAGAAGGTATATACGTACTCGAAGAGAAGGCTCACGATACGGAGGCCCCGAGATCTTAGGTACATGAGAAAGCTAACATTGTCTAGTGTAGATTGAAATTGGTGGCTTATACTTGTTATCTTGCTCACATCATCGCACAGTGTTATTGGAGGATCGAATCCCATCAGTTGTAGGTACTACGGTTTGTACTCCTGTAGACTACCGAGTCACAATACGACCCAAAATTGTAGCGCAAGATTCCGAGACTCTGAATTTCGCCGGTCACTCATATAAAAGAGAGAAAGAAACTGGAGCCTGAGTATATTTAAATTGTAGGATAACCGTTGGAAGATAAGGCTCAAGTACGCCATCTGATTCTCAGTGGCGTCTACGTTCCGCAAGCAACCGATTCTTATACGGGTTGATTCAAACTAGAAGGAAGAGCCGCGACATGCATATGACAAGTTGAGCGAGTTTGTTTTCTACAATCATATCGTAAGGAGAAGAATTTTTTAAGTAGGGCGATCTCTAGAAAACGTGCTCTATAGTTCCATGAGAATTTGACGCACGCGGTCTACCAATAGTTATTGCTCACGGGACGGCTCGAAGCATTGGTCCGGTCATGGCGTCTCGTAAAGTACGGAGCTATGAATTTCAGATTCTCTCATTGGTCTGGGAGTTGCAAGACTTTCTTATGATAGGTTCGAGTTACCAGCACGGCTTACAGCAGTCCCGTCTGGTATCACCAGTGGCCCAAGCTTGGTTTGTGAAATGACTTTAATTGACATAGCTGAAGTATACTCTTGTATGAGAGATTTACATGGTGAAAGATTTGTCCATGTTATGATAATCGGGATCCTCTAAGTAGAAATTGTTGAGGCTGACTGAGGTTATTAATTAGATCAGTGGATTCATTAGCGTTGCTGACTACACGTATAGTACGGCCCGGAAGTTTTTAGCATCATGTGGTTGACGTCTGAAATTATGATATTCGCTGCACGGGTCCCCAAGTGTAAGTCTACAATGCCAGGAGGTATGGGTATAGGAGCCTCGCTTATCCGTCAACTAGCACCGGTGCTTGACCAAGGACGATGGGCTGAAAATATATAATATCCTTAAAAATTTCAGGTTGATACGTATATTCGATATAAGTCATGCAGGCTTGACATGCACTTAGTCATTTAAAGACGTAGGGCTGTCTGAAGCGATATCAATACGAAATTTTTAATACTGAGCGCAAACGCCCTGGACCGATGAGTCCTACAGAAAAGATGGGGCTCACGGCCGTTACTAGTTATTGGTGCGGAAGAAGGCAGTCGGCCTATTTTGGATGTCTCGGGCTTCATTTCCGTTGCGTTGTTTGCTTCGCTGCAGTCACAGGCGAGATGCAGGGTCTTTCGGCCGAAAAGAGATCTTCCTCACCCCTATTAGAATAAACAGGAAGGTGATCTATCATAGTATCAATGAGTCAGTTCTGCCGGAGAAAAATAGTAATCCATGATTGACATGACTCAATTTGGAAGGCTGGGCGACACAAATTTGCATTGGAATCACCAAACATCAAGGCGGGACGGGGTTGATCCTTTGGTGTGGAGGTACAATGCAGTACCACTTGTTTTGAAAGATATGATCTGACATCGAGGTAGTGAAACCGAGGGGCAGAATAACCATATCCATGTATCCTTAAATCTAGAGTCGCTTCTTCCTGAGGCTCTCGGATAAAAAGATCTAGAACGTTTCCCAATTGCCGGGGCCTTGGGTCCAAGGTTAATTGTATGTGTCTCCAGGATTGTCCCTGTGAATAGCATGTTACCAGTATTGAGGCCTTAATCCCTGAAACGTGGATGCCAGGGAACTGTGCTCATCGCCATCCTTTCGTCTTTGCCCAGCCAACTGCATTGACCAATGTTAGCAGCTGTCTTTTATGTATTCCTTGCGCAACTAGGGTGACCCTATATAATTTTCGGCATATCGCAATGAGAAGTAATAAGAAATCAACCTACCTCAAGTTGTACGCCCTTATGTAAGTGTACTAACCAGTCCACATAACTCTGGGCTTCGTTGTTGCGATCTTCAATTAACATTCTTGCGAACTCATATTCGGCTCCGTCAATTGCTTGTCTAGCCAGCTGGATTGTCAACGCCTTGGAACCGCGCATGGTCTTGAGGAACTCAATTATGTTCCGGACCTGCGCGTTAAGGTGCGTTTGTAGAACCGGTAAGGAGGAGCTGTACGGGTCAAGCGAGCTGAGGCTATCCTTGCCTTCACCAAATAGATCGACTAATAGATTGGGCGAAGTTTGGGAATGGAACCACAGTAAGCATTGTTGCCCGTTGTCTACGAGATATACTCCTCCTGGTTCGACACGGCTGAACGATGTACGAATAGCCGGTGGCACCCTCAAGTAGCCAGTGTCCTTGTCGGGGAATCCGTCTTCGGGATTCAGGTTGTGTATTGGTATCATTCTGGGATAGAGGTAGAGACTGAGTTCCGGCGCGCCCATTGAATTGATCATGCGCATTTCGTGTACCCTGCGATCGGAGGTCTCGTTTCCTCCCTTGAAAGCTCGAGATTTGATAAGGCCAAGCATATACATCGAGAACTCTTTGAGCTTCTCTGGCATGACAAGCTGTCCTGGTGGGTGCGACTGAGAAGAGAAGTTCTTACGATATCCAGCCAGAACATCAATTGTTTTTTCTGTCAGGCCCAGCCTTATGTCTTTAAGACTCGTGGAAGTCGAAGCAAGTTTGGAAGCGGCGTCCTTAGCAATGATCGTATAGACGGCGTCTTGGTCAACAAACTTCATGCATTCCCGCGCGTTGTCGCTGACGCTTGCAATGACATTACAACATCTTACTCGTCGTTCACCGGAGGCGGTTGTATATAACAAGGCAGACTGGAAATGAGCGTCAAGCTTTGAATCGAGCTTTCCATCATAACCAAACGTAACGCCCACAGCCTTGTCGGCATCTATGACTCCTATCTCAAGATCGGCTCCAAAGGTATGTTGTATGAAGTTGCCGTGGTATGCTGATATTTGAAGGCCATTGGAACATCGAACTTTCATCAAGGCCTGATAACCTGTTTCTCTCGTGACCGTGTGCTTGATCTCTAAAGAGAGCTTCGCATTGTCGCGGCCAGCCACGAAATTGGGGTAGTAAAATGTTTCTCCGCCGGTTGTGGACGCGACATGGCCTTTGAATCGTTAGTTATGATGACGATGGTACTATGTTCTGCTTATATGCTTACCAATAGTAGCCACATCCAGATATCCACCAGATGGTGCGGCTAAAAAGAAGTCAATACCAACGCCGGCCGCAACCATCTTCTCGGCGGTCTTTCTCCACGCGGGATGATCTGTCGTGAACAGTTTCTTGTCGATTTCACCGCCTGAATACTTCCCGTCGTCTCTCATAAAAAGTCGGTTAGGGCCCCAGGTGGGTAATGCAGACAACGAGCACACCATCTTCCCTCCAGTTTTTTCTAACGCGGACAAACATGAGATCAACGTAGGTAATAAGGCAGGCTCCGGATTTTTGATGTCGGCGAAGAGTGTCGGCAATCGCGCAAGTAATGATGTGATGACGGCCTTTGACTCGTATGGGTCAACGAAAAGACCGTCACTAAGTGGTACAAAGGGGTCCTCCAGGTCGGACATTATCAACATTTGCGCTTGCTCCAGAGCGGGATTGCAATTGTAAAAATGTATGTCCTTGTCGTACGTGACGAACCCAACTTTAGCGCCGGGCGGAATTCGTCGTTTCGGCTCGCCATTCTCATCTAACTCGTCGCCGCCTTCCGGAGCATAGAGCGCGGCAAGTATGCCTTCGCAGAACGCTTCTAAAAATCCCTTATTATAAGATTCTTGGGTGACGTCAATGACAAATAACCAGTGAAGACCCGTCGGCTCTTTCGTCCAGTACTCCTTAGGGACTGTGAATTCGACGGTACCCCTCGTCAACTCCGGCCGCTGATCCCGATCGACTCTTACGCCTTGCGGAGTTGTCGCGCAAAAATATTCCGAAGGAGTATCGTTAGGATAGGTGCACAGGTTACACACGAATTTGCTTCCTCCTGATCGGAACATCATGAAGGGGTTGATGTAAGCACGGCATCTCCGACATCTCGGCGGACCAACGTCTCCGAAATCAAGTACGGGAACCTCCATCTCACCAGATTGAAGGCGGGCCAAAGGTTGTAAGACGAGGCCTAAAGGCAGACCGGTGCTATTTAAGCCTTCCGAGTTGGATGGGATATTATTCATGGTCAACCTAGTGAACTTAGGCGAGGAATTGCCTTGGTCGTAGGCGACAAAAGAGACGGTGGCCGGAGGAGGAACATGACGCTCGAAAGTTGGATATACATTGCTTAGATAGTACTGTTGTGGTACATCCCTGGACACTGGCACACTGGGAATATCATCTGGTGAGACCTGTTGTCCCCCCGAAGTTGGCACAAACGCAGGCGCATAACCTTGATCTACTTGACCGCTTCTCGCGGCAAACTCAGCCGGACTCGCTGGCACGGCGGGGTTGAATGGTGAGTTGACGGGAGCTGGAAATTGGTTTGGCATGGCTGGTTGACCGATAAACTGGCTCCCTGGTTGTACAGAGGGATCCGCGTTTAAGAAAGCCGTAGCAGGCGTTCCCACCGGTGGTATGCCATTATATGCTTGCGAAGAACCAGCTGGTGCTTCTACGGCATGGAACACATGTCTATCTTTCTTCTTCCTCCTCACCGAATGTTGGCCGTCTCCTACAGACATTCCTGCCATCTGCGCGGAAAGGCCTCCATCCTGCGGAGGTGAAGCTATAGGCGAAGGGCCACCGGGAGGCGGAGGAGCGTTTCCATAGTATTGTTGACCTGGGGGAGGGGCAGGAGAGCCATAGCCAGCAGTTTGCTGATAGGGATTTTGAGCAACGGGGGGTTGAAATTGCGGAGGGGCAGGTTGAGTCGTTCGGTTGGGATTATTGGGATCAAGTTGTTCGCCTTGCCCCAAAGCGTGATACATAGAGTAGTCCGCCATCGTAAAGGACTACCTCTTCGTAGATTGAGTTCGAATTCGCCAAATATCGTTTTATTACTGTGTACCTTCTTGTGTACGTCGTAGACCTCGGATACCTCAAGGCGTAGTCTTGTTTCGGCTCGCGATTCGGCAAATCATCAAAATCTTGAATGTTCCATGGTATCCCGTATTTACAAGATGACGATTAGACCAACATTTAGAGGCGATTTTACCTACTAGGTGAGTAGAGAAAGGTAAGAGGACAAGCTGTCAGTTTAGTCACTCCGTTAGTCACTTCAGCTAGAAGACCTGTGGCGTCACGTCGTGTCAAGTTTCGTCTTTGGGGTCGCGGCTTCGATATTAACACCTGAAATCATAGCCAAGATGCCAGGGGTCAATTAAAACGGACAATTGGTGATGAATTATGGAATTGATGGAATTGACACGATAACATTCCGGGGATTTTCCGACAATATTTTCAGTCGCGGTATGCTAATCGATGTACTTTGTAGCAGGCAGTGGGCACCTTCCAACTTCCAACCGACAGCCAACTTTGAGTTCTTACCCATCAATTAGCGACCCACTGACAGGGCTGCTACCGAATTAGCTCGGTGGCTCATGCTTGCTCGCCATAGCTCCTTCAGCTTTGAAACCCACAGCAGCTGTTTAGATATGTACCTAGGTACCTACTCACTAAGTGGGTCGTGCCAAACCCGTCTTTGATACGCGACGAAGTTGGAGAGATCTTATTCTTTTACAACCACTTACAACAATACCATCTTCAACTTTTAGTATCGCAAATACTTGATCGCGAATTTATATCGCAAAGGGTAAATCAACTCACGCGATTCAGATAGTGCCCCAAAACCCTTTCTAGATGACTTTCTAGTACGATGACGCAGCGATGTTTACCTTCAGCTCACTACAAGGAGCGCTCTCTGAATCGGCTTCGTCGCAATCTATCCTCGAGCTAGATGGAGGAATCAAGGTCTTGGTCGACGTTGGCTGGGACGAGTCTTTCGATGTCGCAAAGCTCAAGGAGCTGGAGAAGTACGTTTGAGCAGCATAATCCTCGTTCCTAGGATGTTCTCACGTGAAAAGTAACCACTAACCTTCATTGCTTATAGACAAGTGCCAACACTCTCTCTCATCCTCCTCACACATGCTACTACGAACCATATAGCCGCCTATGCTCATTGCTGTAAACACTTTCCTCTTTTCACTCGTATCCCGGTCTATGCGACCTCTCCCGTCATCGCACTCGGCCGGACTCTACTTCAGGATCTATACGCCTCTACTCCGCTCGCCGCCACAACAATTCCGTCCAGTTCTCTCGACGAGGTCACATATACATCGCAACAGTCCTCATCCTCCGATATCCTGTTACAGGCCCCTACCCCCGAAGAAATCGCGACATATTTCTCCATAATCCATCCTCTAAAATACTCTCAACCACATCAGCCGCTCGGCTCCCCATTCTCCCCTCCCTTAAACGGCCTTACCATAACAGCATACAACTCAGGCCGTACTTTAGGTGGTACCATATGGCATATACAACATGGATTAGAGTCTATAGTATATGCTGTCGACTGGAATCAAGGACGTGAAAATGTGTACGCAGGAGCGGCTTGGCTGGGTGGTGCCGGGGGAGGGGGTGCCGAGATTATTGAGCAGTTGCGAAAGCCAACAGCCCTAGTCTGTAGCAGTAGGGGCGGCGAAAAGACCGCCATCTCCGGCAGCCGGAGCAAGCGAGACGAACAGCTACTAAGTAAGGTGAAGTCTTGCATTACACGGGGAGGCACCGTCTTGATTCCTATTGACTCTAGCGCTCGAGTATTGGAATTGGCATACTTGATGGATCATGCATGGCGAGCCGACGCGGCATCCGGCGATGGCCAGCTTAAGTCTGCCAAACTCTACCTCGCGGGTCGCAATATTCATAGTACTATGAGATATGCACGTAGCATGCTCGAATGGATGGACGATAGTATAGTCCGGGAATTCGAGGCCGTCGTCGATGGGACCAAGCGAGTAAACGGCACGACAGATGGTTCTAAATCAAACAAGGAGGCTGGACCATTCGACTTCAAATTCTTGAAGTTGCTCGATAGAAAGGGACAAATCAATAAGGTACTTGGTGGGGAGACAGGAGAGGGCATCCCTACTGGCAAGGTTATCCTCGCAAGCGACTCTACACTTGAGTGGGGATTCTCCAAAGACGTGTTGAAGCAGATCGCACAGGACCCGAAGAATATGGTCATCCTAACCGAGTATCCCTCTTTGGTTTCGGAAGCGCATCCTTCGCTGGCTAGAAGCTTGTGGGCATGGTGGAAGGAAGGTCAGGAAAGTTCAATGGAGAGCTCCAATGGCGAAACCAGACACGAACTCGAACTTGCAGAAGCGAAGAGGCAGGCTCTGCAAGGTAATGACTTAGCTATCTATCAACAGTGGCTAGCACAGCAGCGTCAACTTCAGACCACTCTCCAAAGTGGAGGAGTTAGCACCCTTGAAGCCACCGAGGATGTTGGAGATGAAGCTTCTGAGTCCGAATCAGAGTCAGAAGATTCCGACAATGAACAACAGGGCAGGGCTTTGAACGTTGCGACCACGCTAGGTCAGGCGAGTAGGAAAAAGGCTGCATTGACGGATGAAGATCTTGGCATTAATATACTGCTGAAGAAAAAAGGTGTCTACGATTTTGATGTTAGGAATAAAAAGGGCCGGGATAGAATGTTTCCGCATCCAGTTCGTCGAAAGCGCGCCGACGACTACGGTGAACTTATTAGACCCGAGGACTTCCTTCGAGCGGAAGAAAGGGACGACAACGACGGACAGGATTTGGCGCAAGCAGGGAAAGATGAGGATCAAGAAAAACTCGGGAAGAAGCGAAAATGGGATAACGCTTCAGCTAACGCCAAGAACCAGGGTTCTGGGCCGTCGAAGCGACCGCACCTCTCGCGTAGCGTTACTGATGACTTTGAAATGGCAGCATCTGATGGCCCTATTGAAGATGAGCTCGACGGTATTCCTGATGACCCAGACGAGACGAACCTTGGCCCCTCCAAGCTAGTCTTTACAAAGACAACCATAGCGGTCAACCTCGAAGTTGAATTCGTCGACATGAGCGGTATCCACGATAAGCGAAGCTTGCACATGTTGATCCCCCTAATCCAGCCCCGCAAGCTCATCCTCATCGGCGGTAGTGAAGGAGAAACCATTACCCTCGCGTCGGATTGCAAGAAGTTGCTAGCTGAAGGGTCTGTTAGTATCTATACGCCAGCCGTGGGCACGGCAATAGACGCAAGCGTGGATACCAACGCCTGGATAGTTAAGCTTGCCCCTACCCTCGTCAAGCAGCTCAAGTGGCAGAATGTTCGCGGTCTAAGCATCGCCACGGTCACCGGTCGGCTGCTAGCAATGCATAAGGAGCGAGCAGCGCGTCAAGACGACGAAGCGGCGAACAAGCGTCTCAAGATGGAGGATTCAACGGAATCCGCAGAAGCGAAGGTGGACACGGAAGCGCCTGTGGAACCTACGCTCGACGTCCTCCCCACGAATATGGCGTCGGCGACTCGGTCCGTCGCCCAACCCCTACACGTCGGCGACCTGAGGCTCGCCGATCTGAGGAAGGCCATGCAGCAATCGGGCCACACGGCGGAGTTCAGGGGCGAGGGTACGCTGCTGGTCGACGGGTCCGTGGTCGTGCGCAAGACTACCGCTGGCAAGATCGACGTGGAAAGCATCGGTCTGCCGACGGACGGGGGCCCGGCTACCCAGCTCGGAGGCACTTTCTACGCTGTCAAGAGGACTATCTACGAGAGCTTGGCTGTGGTTGCTGGTGCTTGATGGGCTAGGCTAGGTTGATTAGGAAGGCGCATGGGCTAGCGACTAGGGGATTGAGTGGACGTGTATGAGTATGTAGAGTTCAAATACTAAAGGCATGCGAATTTGCTGTTTGCAAATTTTGAACTTTATAAGGATGTCTCTGGTTTTGCGATTCGGGTTTAGTTTATTGTGAAAGTGATGAAGTAACATCTTCCTAGGTACCCACATGTGGTTGGTAGCTCGGTGTAGTACTCCTAATGTCATACAAGCTGCCATCAAGATTTTGATACCTACGAAGTCGTACCCATACTCCAAGGGGAGGTAGTTATCGTCGTCATTTTGAAAAAAGGAGCAATGCTGATAATCAATCTCGGGATAGCTGAGCCTCACAATCTATCAATTTGGTTCTGTCATTATCAATGTCTAATATGAGTTGGGATTATTTTCCTAAAGGTTCTTCCCACATACACATAGGACAATTGAATAACAGGCTTAGCCTAACATGCAGTATATACTATAGGTACCTACATAATACTTACTTCCGGTTTGAGCTCCAAATGGTTCATTATCGCTTAACTTACAAATGCATCATCGCGATAATATTAATACTTGTATACTTGTACCTAGTTTTCATACGGATATATCAGCACTACTAAAACCCCTTGACGTCTCCACTAATACTCATATTTACCTCTATACACTTCCACGATATCAACGTTCCTTTGCAAACCCAACACCAGATCAGAGGTAAATTTACTGTAAATTCGTCGAGAGTAAAATATCAGTATCAACGTGCTTTCGAGGTGAATTAGTTATAACCAAAATTCATATACCAAATAAGAGCCTTGTGCTAGCGATTAGCAGGGAAATTCTTCTTTGGTAGAATATTTCACATTTAATACCGGCTCATACAATAATATTAATTCAATGATATCAACCCTAGCTACCTTATCAAGCTCATCTAATGTGTATGGTCGACACCTACTCTAGCTATATTCTGAATTATGGTACATATAATTATGAAGTTAATCTCCATAGATTTTAATAATGAACGGTTGACTTGAGACCTTAAACTATCAGCCTTATTAAACCCCTATCTTATTTTTCATACCTAGGATAGAGAGTTCTTGCCCATCCGGCGGCATATAAGATAAGCTATATTTAACGTTTGAAAGATAATATTAATAAGCGCACAATACATGTGGATACTACTGTTGAGTAGTATTCTAGGAAGGTAAAAGGGGTTCATTCACCTTCCTTGAAGGAAACCTAAGATCTGGTATCAAAGGGGTGTTTGATGTGCATTGAACCGAATCCATAAACTTCAATGATCGCTCCTCTCTACATGTCTAGGTGCCTAATAGGTACTTTATACTAGTAGTTAGTGAAGTTATTCCGTTCACGTTATTTTCGAGCTTCCGGCATGAGTAGAACAATTGTGAATGCCGATATGCTTTTTAACCGTTAAACATGTTAATTGAAGGATACCTCAGTCCAGGTAATCCTTTTAGCTTATAGACCCATTACCATTGCGAGGTGAGAAGGCTTCTTGATGAACCTATCACCAAACAGATTCCTAAACCGCTCCTGCCTAACTATTGCCGGGCCCTGGCGTTCAAGGAATGGACGACCCCCTTTACCGACCAGGTCGTTTCTAGGGCTCTTAGTGTGACTTCCTAACGACTCGCCGTGACATAATCGGGGGATATTGCTAATACAACCTCCATTGCTGCTTACTCGCCAGTTCCTCTCCACTTCCGACGCTACTTCCAAGCCGGCGCTTCATGGCTTCCAAATCGGCGCTTCGCCGCTTCCGTTGCCGCCTCCGTTGCCGATATCTCCCCACTTATTCGGCAAAGGGGCGTCGAGCTCCTTCCCCCTTACGGCGACTTCACCCCTATAGCGAGTTGCCATGAGCAAGTCACCACCTTCAAGTCACCGTCGTCAAGATATCTCACTATCCCAAGCAACAGACGCAAGGCTGAACAAGTGGTAAACATTGAAATCCCTGATAATGGATAGCACCTAGTATCCTACCTTTCTACCTCTGGCAAAATCTTTTCTTCTCACCTTTCTCATCCCACTTCACACTCTTCATCCTTCTTCACCCTCCCCATCTCTCATCATCTCCCACACCCGCCTTGGTCTTTCTAGGTACCACTAGGAAGATCAAGGCTCTCTCACTTGCATTCACGTTTTCTACACATTTGCTCTCTTCCGTAGAGTGCCTGCTTTGTTTTTTTTTTAGCAAAACGCTAATTTCACATTCGTTTACCCATCATCAACAGAGGCCTCTACTTGTGCCTACTGTTGATAAGTCGCTGCTCTTACCTTCTCACACTCCGTCGTTTGCCTACTCAAATCACACTTCTCATTACAAAACAACCCACTAGAAGTTGCATTTTGTGCGCATTTGTACTTGTGACGGCTCCATACACACGTACACACCAAGTTACCTTGCCAGATTCTACTCCGCATCACCAACCGGTAAGAGGCCAGAACCCATCTTCAGGAACTAGTGATGCTAACACACATATATAGCAGCAATGGCTCTTTACCAGAAACTCTGTAACGAGCTGAAGCTCGAGATCATGCAGAAAGCCGCGATGGTACCCGGCATGAACTTCTTCGTCATGTATGTCGACCGCTTTGAGGATGCCATGCCCGGTAACGACATTACCACGCAGACCCCGAGAATCCGGGCTGAGAAAATTATGAATGAGGATGGAGTGCCCGAAGACAATTCTGCGTGGCGACAGCGCCAGAACCTCATTAAAGTCGACGCCGCATCGGAGAAGGTGATGATGAAACTTATCAATAGACCTTCCACCAAGAAGATGTGGCCTCGAGCTCCATTCCCTGAGTCCGAAAACGTCGAGGAAAACGCCTACCACTTCTGTGACGACGACAGTATGTAACATTGAGATCCTACTTTTCCTCCTCTTAGGCTTTTTTGGAGCGAAAAATTCCTAATCGAGCTGCTTAAGGAGCAAAAGCTCCCCGAACTCTTCCCTGTAGAATGAAATACTAACTTCTGGTGTTATAGTGCTCTGTATTCGATTCATCGGCATTGTCACTGCCCCTTGGACCCGACCCGTGACGAACCCGGAGGTATTCACGGGCATCAAGCGCGTGTCCATGGAGTTTGCATTCCAGTTCGTGAACAAGAAGTACCCGGAATACCCTTTCGAGTGCGAGTGTGAAGACGTTGAGCATTGGGGCTTCTGTCCTATCGTGCTAGACAAGTTCCTAGCGTACTTCCCCGATCTCGAGAAATTCTACTTTATCAAGAAGCTCCTTAAGGAAGAGCTCCACCAACCCGAGTGGGCCGTCAAGCTCCTATCTAGCAAGCGAGACCGTCAAGGCCAGATCAAGACTAAGGGCAAGGTCGAGGTCCTTAGCCTGCCTCGCATAACGCGCAAGCAGGTCCGCAAGCATCACTTCAAGGAGACGTACAAGAAGTTCCGAGGTAAGTTTTATCGTTGAGGAAAAGGCTGGCTGTCTATTTCATTTCCCTCGTCTTCGATCCCGTAAGGCGCATGCTGATAAAAATTTATGATGTATAGACATCGCTCGACGCGAAGGCCTGGTGAGCTATGAGGACATGGAGCGTCACTACTACGAAGTCCGTGAGTGCGACAGCGAGGTGATGCTTTTTCACGACGAGATCTGGGGTCATTTCCACATGCTCAAGGACCTTTGGGCCACTCAGAAGAATACCCTGAACCTAGGACATGAGGTTAAGGAGGTTGAGCTCGGCTTGTTGGTGCACATTGACCCTCCTCAGCCAGAACCCGTTCCGGCTCGCCGTCCGATCAAGGCTGCTAAGTCTCAGAAGGCGAAGGCTGCTCGCAGCTCGTCTTAAACGACATCAAACCTACCGGATGAATGGGCATCAACAGGGCCTACATTAGTAGCCACCCTGCTTATAAACTGCCCCGGGATATCTGCTCGGTTTGCTTTTATCCCCTTTCTATCCGATGATTTATGAAGAAGGCATCAAAACCATGAATCCACCTCCGACTATTCCCCTTTTCTCTGCCCCAATTTCCCAATGAATGTTCAATCCTCGGTCTCCAATGTACCCTGGAATATGAATGTATTGCAAGGTCGCGGCTTATGACTGCCCATGACTTGCATTAGATAGTAAAGAAACCTGATGCCTTCAAAATGACATTTCTTAGTTAGTAAGCTAAAGTGAAGGTCATCGACTAGTAGGCCGAGATCGGCGCTAGTGATCGAAATATCTAGTGATCTACCTAGGTAAATATGCGGCAAAGACGCCGTATTAAATCCGCTAGTATGGCTCATTCTGTCGTTGCCCATGATAATCATAAGATCGCTGCCGAGGGCCATACATAAACATCCGCATATCCGTATCAGTAGCAATATATTCTCTCCCGAAAACTTCAAGCAAAAAGTAGCGAAAGTTTTGGATTTATTGGTTTATTTTGGCTTCAATGAGACTCCCAAGATGACGGCTGTACGTAAACAAGCGCTAGACGACCTGCTAACAGCAGTGCAAATTGTAAGATTCAGTTTCATACTTTGTGATACCTACCTATTTATTATGCCAGCTAGCTAATGTGAACATAGTCGTTTCGGCATTCCCGACACAAAATCATACAAGCATGGCTATATGTACCATTTGGCATAATTCTAATGCTGTTAGCCTGCTTTGGAGTTAAGAAATTATTCGATCTTGGGTCTGTGACCTTTCCATCGTCGGTAGCATGTCTCATCATCCTATTCTTGGCTTTGCTGCTATCCGAACAAGTCCTTGGAGAACATCGGACGAAGCGCATCGTTGGTGTCATTGAAGTTCCGGTAAGTTGCATTGCCATCTTTATCTCCGGAGATCATACTATAGAAACTGATATTTCCCTAGGGAGACTGGGCATTACGATGGATCAATGTATTGTTCACGCCTTCCTTCGTCCTACTACCCCTGAGTCCGTCAATAGGGGGTATCGAGGTCCTCAAGATGATCGCTGTCTTCGGTAAGCAATGAAATGAAGTAGCCTATATCAACCTAGTGTTCCTTTGACTAACTCTCCATTAGTAATCGGCTTTATCGTGATGATGGTTCTTGCGGCATATATGACCCGAAGTATTCAGCTGATCCTAGGGTCATCTAAACGGGCCATGACCGCACGAGCAGAAGAGCTCAACCCCAACAACGATGAGATACCTATGACAGCTGTACCAGAATCAGCAGGAACCTCTACGCCGGCAGATATCTCAGACCAACCTTCATCAGACGAGGTAAACCTACAGCGTCCCCCACCATCTCAAGACGTCGTTCAGGGGCATCGCGTAGACGATTCCTCCCCCGCAAGCACAAGCAGCGACGCCGAGCATCTCAACCTCCCACCCCAATCCCCAGTCCCTCCATCCCGCTCCGTCCGCTGGGCAGCCATAATCACCACGCGCCTCGACCTCTTCATCTACACCACCCTCTTCCTCTTCGTCGGGCTGCCCATGTACTACGCCGGCGGCTACGCCATGCCCCTCCACCTAACCGTCAACATCCTAACCTACTTCGGCGCCATGTCCCTGCCCTTAAACTGGCGGACGTACCTACACCCAGTCCTCGTGTCCTCGCTCTTCACCGTCCTCAGCATCTGGGTCCTCGGACTCCTCAACGGCGTCCCTCTCCCGTCCACCCTCACCGCCTACAAAACCGGTTCCAACTACGCCGAACTCTGGACCCCCCATCCCAACCCCAATCCAAACCCTCTCCCGCTCCCCGGCGCAGGCGACCTATTCTCCAGCGTCCTAGACGCCTCCATCGTATCCTTCGCGCTGCCCGTATACCGGTACCGGCGGGAGCTGCGACAGCACCTCGCCGCGATCCTCGTGCCCAACATCGCCATCAGCGTCGGCTCGCTGTTCGCGTACCCGGCCATCTGCCACGCGATCGGCATCAGCGCGCCGCGCAGCCTCGCCTTCGCGGCGCGGAGCCTGACGCTGGCTCTCGCCGTCCCCGCCGCGAAGAACCTCGGCGGCGACGCGAATGCGGTGGCCGCGCTGGCGATTATGAGTGGCATTGTGGGCGTGCTGGTTGGGCAGCGGATGTTGGGGTGGTTGAGGATTCCTGAGGGTGAGTTTTTGGTTTCTTTATATATATACCTTTTCACCTGGCCTTATGTTACCTCCCTCCCTACCTTACCTTCGAATCGGGATTTCTACGAAGTTTCTGGGGTTTTGGGTATGGCAATCGTGATAAGAGAACAGACTAGCTGACATTATGCATGTGAAGATGACTACGTGACGCGCGGCGTGACCCTCGGCGCCAACTCTTCGGCGATAGCTGCGGCTCTGCTACTGCGCACCGACCCCCGAGCCGCGGCGCTGTCGATCCTGGCGATGAGCCTGTTCGGCACGATCACGGTACTGTTCACGTCGATTCCCCCGATGACGATCGTGATACAGTCGTTGGTGGGGATGTGAGCCTTGAACTTCAAGCCCCTGGATGAGGTTGCTGTACTGTTCAGAACCAAAGAATGCCGGTTCTCGTGTACGCTCGGCGTTCATTATCCATTACTACTTACTTCTTTTCGACCCACTACCAGGTATTTATCGCAAGCCCGATATATACCTAGATGGACTGTCGCTAAACTCTAGTTTAGATTAGAGTACAATGGCTTGGCGTCTTAGTTCAGGTAGGTTGAAGCTTGTATTACTCGGGTTTGAGAATGCTTCGTTGGATGTCCTTCATTCATTGATGGTGAGTAGATACTAGGCTGAATATCATAGACTTGGATGAGAATACGGATATTAACATAGAATTAAGTATACATAGACAGGTTTTGACGAGGATAGATAGATAGTAGATTTCTAGACAACACCTCATAGAATAGACTCCTAGCATACACATGGTACTCAATTGAAAACAGCGGAACGCCAGTGTGTATTGAATAGGTAGTGTGGTGGAAGCATAAACCAACACATCGAGATAATTGGAAAATAAAGATAATGAGTCTATTCAGCTATGCTTACCTAGATGATTTGCTACAACATCACGATGAGGTTCACCTAGCAACGGCCTAACCCCTGAATTCAGCTTTAAATTTTCACGCTCGGTCCGCACGGTTGGCGCATTATGATGTCGTATTTGAAACAGCGGCATTTTGGCCTATAAATCCCATCACCTCGTCAATCCCGATTCTCTCACCGTCTCTCTAAGCCGTATGTTCAGGTATGACGTCACTCGCCAAGCTCATCTTCACGGGAGATAAATCAGCCCATCTAATCCGTATTTGGGCATCTAGATATGTATACCCACAATGTTGAAACATATAAATAGAACAATCGTGCATATATATCGCCTTACCGCCTTACCTGTGTTACGTAGTAATCTCGTCGTCGATTAAACAGAATTAGAACGGAGGCCTCGTATACAGATTTAGACATGTACGTAGGTAGGCTGACCAGTTCTCCCAGATAAACGATATAGGTAGATCAAAACTCGTCATGATCAACGACTTCCTCGCATCATGACGTACGTACCGTGCGTCCCTATCTTAGCAAACGCAAGACCCCCCGACCGCAGATCTGGGTGATTATCTCATCTCCGTCGCGGGTAGATTTTCCTCGCTACTGGCTAGACCCGCGCCGGACCAATAAGTGCCGGCGCACCCTCGGCCCTGAGTGCCGGATTTGTTTTGGTCCCAGTCCCCCCCCGAATTAGGAAATCGGGGTCGCCGATCACTGTAGCGATAGAGGTACGCAGTAGTGAGCTCCTTTCTCCTCACCGCCGCACTAGCCACTCCTGTCGTCATTCACGGCCGAAGATCATAAGACGCGTTGCCCAATGAGGTTCGCGTCTTCGCGTCTTCTCGACTTATCTGCTACTCTGTCTGACTTCGAGCGATGCATCGCCGCGAAGCTGCCGTGGCGAACTGTGGCGCACGTCGCTACCTATGCGTATAGGTAGGAAGACTAGGTCGGTAGGTATCTTCGGTGAGCATCTAGCAGATGCAATGCTCGACGTCTCCTGGGAGGTACCATGTAGACGCGAGCGACTCCGTGTACTTCGCGGTCCTGTGGCGAGTGCGGAGGACTGCCGGATGAGGAAAGTTTGCTACCTGATAGCGGCCTGTCATTGGCTATCGCAGCAGCCTATTCCATCTACATGTCTCTCCCTCTGTGGCTCATGAAGTGGCAAGTTTGCCTCCTCAAGTGGCATTCATTCGTCCATATTCATCTTTAGAATCCCTTTTTGTCGATATCTTGCGTGAAAATGATGTGGCTTGTATGCGGCGGCCGCTTCGCATCGTCGCACTGGATCGCCTAAAGGGGGAGCTACCCCGGGGCGTCTCGCGATAACCTGTGGCTCACCACCCTATTCTGGGGTCGTCGCGTACTTATGTGGCGATGCAGAGCTGTGCAGTCTCGAGCACTCCCTCGAACCATGCCGTTTCCCCAGGACACCTTTCCTTAGAAGTATGATTGGCCCCAGGAACACTTGCGGTGGGCAGTTCAATGGCGGCCGTTGTTGCTGCAGGGACCGTAGCGAGAGAAGAGATAGGTGGCAATGATCGAGTGTGGTACTAAAATGTGCCGAATGAATAACCTATCCGTCCCGGACTCACTTCGCTCGTGCGACTCGACCTCCCTGGCCAGCTGAAATAAACACCGCTTCGAGAATCTCATTGGACCCGGTTCTAGATGAGACATGCGGATGTCGTAGATTACGACTACACGTGGCCGAAGGGAGGCCTCCATACTGTCTGGTCTGGATCGGCCTGTTCCTGAGGAATTTTGCGTAGACACGCCTCATGTCTTTCGGAAAGGCGCATGCGCGTGCGACAATTGGTCGATAGGTCGAGTTCCGAGTGGAAGATGACCGAACTTCGCCTATATCGAGGCCGCCTAGATTCGCTACCAACGCATCGCCGTTATGCCCAACGATAGTACGATGGTAAACCCTCCCTTCGCAGCTTCCTCTACCGGTCGGCTCCGGTATAAGGTCGATCGGGAATTGTGGTGAGTCTCGGAGTGGTAGCGGGGGTCAAGCCTCCCGTAGGCCTAGGGCAGACTGTGGCGAGTGAGCCCCCCTAGGGCCCCCCTAATGGTGATTGTCATTACAAGTACCAATACTTCGGTCGCTGAACTGCCCACTAACTGAACGACCGGGCCGGGGCTCGCAGCGCGTCACAGCTGCATTATGCAGGGCCCCAATAAATCTCCAATGGTAAGCTGTAGCGAAATTTTCCTTACCACGCGCTACAAGGAACGCTACTAGCTGCAGCTTTAGGGGCCTAAGTAGGCGCTATTCGTACCCTCTACAGCACACAGGCCAGCTGGCAATCCCTAATAGTTAGGCGTGCTGTAGTGTAATGCGATGCGCTGTAAAGGCCGAGGAAAACGCCAAATTTCATGTGAAGCCAGCTGATAACTATCTCGATCGTCGATGCACTTATCGACTTATCGCCCTACTATACGTAATGAGAGGGGGGATCATTCATGTTCAGCTGGATACTAAAATGCTGATTGCCGTTTTGCGCCTAGCCATGTGATTATGCATTCCGTGTTGACATGTGTTGACATACGTTCTCCTCATCTTTATGATCAGTAGCACGGAGGATGGGGGTGTAAGATGCTGAGTCGGTAGCACAGCGAATATGTGTTGCCTGAGACTAAACGCTATTGGCGCTCTTCAATTTATAATTGATCGCTAATCACTCAAGGAAGTCAATTCCTCTCGGGCGCAAGTCGAAGTTGGAGATGAAAGGAAAGAGTAGGATAAATGCTAGCTTTGGCAGATGCCGTCCAGAGACTGGAGATCGGCAACAAGCTTGTCATTGAAATTTTCCCTTACTAAGGGATTTTCAAGATTCTTACCTAGAGGAATTTCACTCGGGAGTTTCATATCGATTCCTTTCGGGAAAACCATACAGAGCCGAGCTGGAAGTATTTCAGTTCCTGCATGTCTCCCACGTAGGTAAGGTCCCGCGAGTTGGTCGAACCTAAACTACCTATGTATGCAGTTAGTCTAGCATATCGACACAGGTGCACAGGTACATCATTCACGGTGTAGGAACGTGGGGATGAAGTCCATCCTGGTAGGTGTACCGCATCCCCAAGGCATTGGGTAGGCAGGGTAACATCTGTTCCGACAACCTCAAGAATCATGTACCACGGCATCTAAAGTAAGCCCGTCTATTTGGGCGACGGTGACACGAGATAGCCGCATATGAAGTTGTACAGCGACTGGGACACTATGCGGAACGCGCAAACCACTCGCCACAGCGCTGTGGAGTTTTCGAAGAGAGGTCCGTGTGCACTGCCCCAATTCAACCCAGGCGTCGATCATCATTTGTGGCTTTCTTGGGCTAGAATTCCCAACGTCAGGTCAACAATCACCATACCCCATGTCTCCATATCCCACGTTTAGGCCGGGGAGGCAGGTGGGCACCGTGGGACGCTGGAAGGGCGAAACCACATTAGGCTCGGGGAAATGATGACGGTACGGTCAGTAAGGCGTTAGAGGAATAGATGGAAATGACAGCGGTGGCAGCGGTGTAAATCTTCTGCTTAGTTTGATTAGGAAAGCCGACAGTGTTACCGATATAGTTGATGAGTTGTTTTGATGCCTGACGAGGAAATGTCGCTTGTGGTATTGTTGTATTGTAGCTCGGCACCTCCCTCAATCTCATGATCCCATGATCCCTCTCTTACATAGTCTTATTCCCTCTCACCGAGATTATCAACCCCACAACGCAAGCGATGATAACATTGACGAGAGCGGGTGGAAGGAAGGTCTTCATGTAAGAGGACGCATTAACAACAACAAATTGCACAAGCAACGCCGGCCGCTAAACTACTACGATAAAGGCCGGGGGTGGGGGGAGTCTTGCTTCAGATTTAAATGAGGTCATCCTTAAAGTCATCCTAATGAGTAAGTGTCAGATGTTTCGTTTCTTTTTCTTCTCTCGGGACATTTTGTTTATTTCGTTTATATCGTTCATCTGTGATTGCCCGGAGTTTCCGGGGTATGAAGGCGTTTTGATTGTTTTCATTTGAAGAGGGAAGAAGGTGAAAAAAAGCCATCGACCCTTGTAATAGATTTGCTATTTGTTTTAATAGGAGGGACAGATTGTGAGATTGTGACAGATTGTGGCAGCTGCGAGCTAGTACCGTAGCACCCATAGTACGTCCATCCAGCTCGTCCAAATCACCTGCAGAAGGAACCCAGCATCTTGGTGCCGGAGTTCCGCGCCTTCCTGTGCGGGGCGGATTAAACCTTCCAGGGCCTCCAGCTGGCAGCCGTAACTTTGAAACAGCTCCAGAATTACCTAGTCCAGCCACTCAGAAACGCCACAGACATCTCGGCCGCTACATGTTTGGTCCGCTACTACGCCAAGTACCTTGTAAATACATACGGCAGCCAAGTACCGGCATTTAACGCATAATATTACCTACATTAGATCCATTACAGTAAACTT